AGGTGTATGTTTTCTCACTGTGGATTCTAGACCTCACAGATACACAAAATCAGTTAGGAATAGATGCCATGAAGGTAGAAGGGAAAATGGCTGGAGGAATGAAGGGGCTGATGGGAGGCCAGTAAAGAGGAGCATCGCAGGCCCAGAGGGGAGTATACTCAAAGTGCATTTTACCTGCAAGGAAATGACTTCATGTAACACTATATAGATTATAGTCAGGACAGCTGGTGGCTTGGTGCTGACCCTTCGTCTCTGGTGGATGCCGCACATCCCGGTGTCTGTCTCCCCGTCCCCAAGTCTAACCATCACAGAGAGTCATTTTCAGATCACAGAATGGCTGTTTCCGTCTGGATGGGGATAATTACGCTTAATATTCCTTCTTATCTCTAAATGTAACGGGGCCATGTTGTGGAGATTGGATGAATGTGAACAGGTGAATTGGGGCTGGTGTCATGCTCTGTCTGCAAATGGGGAGGGATGTCCCCCAGGTGGTGAATGCATCTGATGAAACCAGCAGGGACAATGCATACTACATTGCAGCTTTCCTAAAAGAGAAGCCTTAAGGTTGAGCAAAAATCAATGGACCTCACATCCAGCCACCCGCTCCATTCCAGTCTTCTCTTCCATACAACAAGGGAGTCCGAGGTAAGCTGCTTTCTGGAGCTGCTCCCTGTGTATTTCTCCTAGTGACTGTAAATGCTGGGGGCTGCAGAGATAGCTCATTGCTTAGGAACACTGACTACTTTCCCAGAGGACCTGGGTTCTGCTCCCAACACATACAGCTCACAGCCCTCTGTAATTCCAGTTCCAGAGGATCCAATGTCCTCTTCTGGCCTCTGTGAGCACTATGCTTATGGTTCACATACATATGTATGGTTGCTCATCTGCAAATGTTTCTGCAGAATTGCTAGCCTGGCTTTGAATTCCTTATGAACACAGATCTGAGCAGACATGGTAGCTGGCTCTTTTCACCTAGTGCCAGACAGTGGAACTCCAGCTCTGATTTTTGTTGTTGTTGCTGCTGTTCACCTCTGGAGAATAAGGCAAAAATGAACATCAACTGAGCCTTCTGATGTTTTCAGGAATCTATTAAAATGTTCTGCTACTGTCTAGGCATGGGAGTACACTTCTGTACTCCTGACACGGGGGAAAGTTAGGGTAGAAAGGTCAAGAGTTCAAGACCAGTCTGTCTCAAAAAGGCAAAGGCTGGTATGTTAGCTTAGTGGTTGAGAGCCTATGTCACAGGAGCAGCAGGTGGAAACTGAAGTTCGGGTGTCAGCCACCAGATGGAAAATCCCTGACTGGTGAATCTCAGATAGGAAAGGTCCCAAGACCACAGACTCCAGAATGCCTGTTCCTTCTGCTGTGTCTTCATATGTTTGCTGCTACCGTCTTTCTCTAGTACCTGGCACAGTGTGAATGGGTGTGGGGAGAAGTACAGTGCCTGTGATGTAGTGTGTTTATCTCATGGAAACATCCTGTTCTACGGGCATTTTTACCTATGGGCTATGATGAAGATGATTTCTTCCTAAGCTGTACTATCTAAATAGTATAAATAGAGTTAGTATAAATAGAGTTTTAATGATTAAAAATCAAACAAGGGAATGTCACACAACTAGAACACGTCAGTTTCTATTGAGGAGCCACGTAGACTGTGACTTAGGTTAATTATTAAGGAAAATAATTGAATTCCAATACACACAAAATAAAAGTAACTAAATAAGTCTTTTAGAAAAATAAAGAAAGGAAAGAATGGTTAGTCAAGAACCAAGCACTGAAGTGTTAATCGTCTTCTAGGAAGAGGGGAGCTGGGCTGTGTCCCGAACATTCCATAGCGACATTTCCAGATGGCAACTTGGGTAATTCATGACATCCTCTGGTGGCTTGATGTTAAGTGACTCCCGTGAGTCACACCCGAACCCCTGGTCCCTCAGGCAGCTAATTAAGACACACCCTGCCTCAAACTACTTTTCCATCTGGGTTGGCTTTGCAGGAAAAAAAAATGAAGAAATTACATTATGTCACCGGAAGATTTCTTTTGCTTTGTATTTTCCAGTTGACGTCTCCAAACAAAATAATTATTTATACATAAATGTGGTGCCCATGTTGAGTTTTTAAGAACTATATTGGGAAAATCTGAGACAACTCTTTTATAGTCTCCATTTATGACAGATTTTCATACACTTCTGCCGTCCGAAGCTCTGTGTTTGCTTTCTGCTGTCAGGTCCTGACTAACTCGCCTGCTTGTCGCCTGTTCCCTTTCCCTAATTAGCCTGGTGCAGTCACCATTCCCGGAATGGTCATGGTTTATTTCATGCCTTTTGTGCCTTTCTTTTTCTCCCTTATTGGTGGTTGAACCCAGGACTTCATGCTAGGGAAACACTGTTATCGCTGCACTGTATTCTCAGTCTAGAACATTCTTTTCATTCTCTTCCACCATCTACAATTTTGAAATTTATTTTTTTTAAAAAAAGCTTCTTTCACACTTTGCTGACATCAC